TGAGCAAAATCTCACACTCAAACGTGTTATGAGTTGTATTGTGTTCTCACAAAAATCATGTTTAAGCCTTAACTCCCAGTGCCTCAGAATGTTGACCCGATTTGGAAATGGGGTTGTTACAGATGCTATCAGTTAAGATGAGGTCATTATGGTGAGCCCTCACCCAACAGACTTGGTGTCTTTAGAAAAAGAAGAAATTTGGACAAACAGGCAAACAGGAAGAAAATTAACGTGAAGATGAGGACAGATTGGGTCTTGCTTCTACATGCCAGAAATGTCAATATTACCAGCAAACTACCAGAAAGCTAGCTAGGGGAGATGCATGGAACAGATTCTTCCTCACAACCAGCCCTTAGAAGGAATCAACCCTGCTGATACCCTATCTCAAGACTTACGGCACCCAGAAATGAGACAGGACAGTTCTGTTGTTTAAATTACTTGGTTTGTGGTACTCTCTGATAGCAGTCCTAGTAAACTAATACAGTATCTTCCAACACTCAGTTTACCTCCTTTTAAAATTATAAAGCTTTTCCTTAGCTGTCACCAAGGTGCTTGCTCAGCCCTTCTGAGGCAGCTAAGCCATACTGAGGTGAGTAAGACCTTCACTTCATCTGGAGATCAGCCTACACCAAGGCCTCCATCTCCAAGCTAGCCTGCACCTCTTCGGCCCTCCTTCCGCAAGGTGATGTGACTGTTATGGAGGATAATGTCCCATTAAAGCAGGTGGTTTAAATGTTGACCCTTTTTGGCCTAGGTTGTTTGCGAAGGCCCCGGCCAATCACGTTGGGAGCCTTCTGTACAATGTAGGTGCTGGTGGACCTGTGCCAGCGTGAAACCAGCCTGAAAACCCCATCTCTACAAAAAATAGAAAAATTAGCTGGGCATGGTGGCGTGCACCTGTAGTCCCAGCTACCCAGGAGGCTGAGGCAGGATAGCTTGAGTCCAGGAGTTTGAGGTTGCTGTGAGCTATGACGCCATTGCACTCAAGCCTGGGCAACAGACAAACCCCATCTCTAAAGTCTGTGGAACCCATAAAACCATGAATAAATCAGAGAACCTCTACGGTTAAAAAGTGGGCCATAAAAGGGGCAAAAGAATATGAATAGTGTTTGTGGAGGGATACAATGTTCACTTCATGTTGGTATTTGAATTATGCTATTCATACTAATTTCAGGTCTCACTAAAATAACAAACGAAACCCTCCAAATGTAGCAAATAAAAACAAGCACCAGAAATTCATTTTTATAGTTTTATTTTTTCAGGTAAAAGTGCATTTCTTAAAAAGTGTTTCAATATCCAGTTTCATTTGGCAAGTGGTAACAGTCAACTCTCAATGGTTCATGAAAGGTTTTATTACGGATCATACATAGATTCTCCTGCCCTCGACATAGTCATAGTGAACCAGAAATACTACACGTAAGTGTAGGTCTGCTTCAAACATTATATAAAGCATTACACGATCAAATAAAACTGCACCATTATGTCACATCTACTAGTGCAGATAAGTGAGGAATGAACGGGTACTTCTTAAGTTTCAACTTAAATCATTTTTAAGACTTATCAAATATAAATATTTTGTGAATGTAAAACTAGGCTCTCTTAGGAAGAGTTAACCAAGTGACGGGTTCAAAAATATTATAGGGTTAATAAATGACTGATTTGGCTTCTATCAGTCTTTTTCTAAGTGCATATCAGTCAGGTCTATCCACAGGAGGTAGTGTGAAGATAGGCTGAAAACTGATAACTCATCAGCTCAGAAAGCAAACTCCCATACCCCAATTTATTTCACAGTTCTGATTTAACCTATTAGTTCCAGATGCTTTTCCCTCAGACCATCAAGGTTCCTTAATAACATGGCAAATAATGTAACTATAGTTTGAGAGTTTAGGTAGGAGAAAGAAGTGTACTTAGAAAGTACTAGCATCTCCTGTACATATGTATTTGAGCAATAGTAGAAGAAATAAATGAAATCAGGGGAACACATTTTCTCAAATAAAATCTAATAGGGATTAACAAATTAAGCAATCAAGATGCCATCCGCCAGCAAGAAGCAAAACACCAAACTGACTACATGCCAAGTATAAGCAAAATCATCCTCTGTAACAGGGATTGACAAACTTTGTAAATATTTTAGGTCTTGCAGGCCACACAGTCTCTTTCATACTACTGCACTCAGCCATTGTAGCAGGAAAGCAGCCAAAGATAATATGCAAATGAGCATGGCTGTGTTCATGGGTAGCACAAAAAACAGGTAGTCTGCGGACCCCTGCTCTGTAGAAAAACCTTACTAGTTAACACTGCTTCAGTTTCTATACTCAAAACTGATTCTGCTCTTAATGTCATTTCCTTTCAGAAAAGTCCTATTCTATAAAAATAAATTCTTTAGGCACTTGTTAACTATTCAATTAGTATCAAAATAGTTGTTATACTATATTCTATTTTCAGTTCCATGAGACTTTATTTTGACTTCCTAGTTATATGTCCTTCATCCATTTAAGAAACAAAATTGCCCTTTAATGGAAATTATTAACTGCTTTGGAAGAAGCAGAGTATTAAGTTAATAATGTATATTTTTAATAATCACCCAGGGTATCTGTGAACACCAATTATGGTACTGTGTTATGTATAGAAAAGCTCTCAGGGACCACTGGCTATCAGCTATTTTCAAAGTGTATAGGACTGCTTGTCCCTATACTAAATGGACCGTGCATTATTAAGATTTCAGATCAATATGCCTTTCCTCTTCATCTTATTACTTCTCAGTGTATCACTTCCTATCAGCATATAAACTTGCTGTCTAGTAAACTTAACTTTTATCCACTATTATAAATAGGCACACTGTGGCCAAAGTAACATTTCCTCTGAGTACAAAAGTGACATAGATTTTTTTTCTTACTTATGACCATCAACAACTGAAAATATGCCTTCAATTTCACAGTCTCAGGTAAGGGGTGGGGTTATCTTTTATTCTAATGGTATTTTCCAGGGGAGTAAGCATTTACAGCTGACTATATGTCATGTTTGGTTTTTTAATTATTCTTTGGAGAGAAAAAGGTTTAGTATAGAGGAAAAAAATGGTGAAGACACTGGAAACTTTAACATTCTACTTCAAGAACTGAGTAAATTCTCCTAATTCTGTTAGTCTACTATATTAAATATCTACAGATCTTCAATCCTGAATGACTCAGATTTTAATGGCTACTTTTAAAAAGCAATATATAAAGCCTGGCACATAACAGACATATTAACTGGACCATCAGAAATCACAAAACCCAATTTGTTTTATAGATCAAGCTATCAATAAATTTTGATAAGCCAATTTTTAAAACCCATTACTTAACTTTTAGCTAATTTTCTTTAGTGCTTTGAATGAAGGCAGTTCTTACAAAATATTTAAATATGCGAGGAAATTGAACATCTTGAGAATTCCAAGAAAATCTCACTTTTAGAGAATCATTCAACTCTATCTTTCAAACTCCACTTTGCAATGAAACAGGAATTTTCAACCATCTAACTTCACAGTAAACTAAGTCACCAGAGGTCTTCAGTAAAATGACAAGGCATGTCTGTCTAATACGACTTCTTCGTTATGGCACTACTAATTTAACTGCCAAATTAATCTTGGAGTAGTGTTATGTTTTCAATGTTTATTAATAAAATAATGGAAGATCCATAATAGAAGGCAAGATTTAGAGACTGAATGTATTTCTAAATATTTGAAAATCTACTTTCATATTAACAAAAATTGAGAACATAATCCACAAATATTCACGAGAAAGCACTTTAATCTGCTTTAGTAATAAGGTTCCTTATTACATGAAATCCTTAACTGTCTATTTAAAAAAATACATCTTCCATACTTTAAAATTTTTGAACTTTAGTTTGAAGACTTCAAGATCAGTCTGTATCCCCAATTCATAAGCTTGAAAAAGTTATAAAAGTCTAGCTTTTATCATTTGTGGCAATAATTCTAAGTATTTAAATCTGCCTGGGTTATCAAAACCTAATTCACAGCCTAAAGCCTCTTAGGACTATCTACTTACTACAAGTGTAGTCCACAGACATTATAGCAGAATGAGATGAAAGGCCTTTCTTACTGAATTAAAGTTAGAGGGAATGGCTTTAAGGGAAAATACTAGCTCATTTATACTTTCTCTAAAATTTAGACTAAGACAGCTTTTTAAATAACACTTATTTTTAATTATTTTCATTCTTGTACCTTAAGAAAAAAACAACTCACCTATATATTTATGTTCCCTCAATTTTGTTTCTTGCCCTGCCACTTATTGACATTTTTATGATGCTTAAACATGTAATAGAATCCCTGACTACCTTCAACCTGTATAGAAAAAAAGAATCCATGAGCAATGTCAGAATTGATCAAAATGTTCAGATTTAAATCCTATTTTTTGACTGTGTTATGCAATAACGTTATTTACCCTGACTCATCCTATACTATTTGGAATTAGAGAAAGGCTCTATACCATTCAACAATGGCTTTCAAACGTGTTCAAATGGCAGAGCATCTTTAATAATAATCTCGCTGGGCTGGGCGTGGTGCCTCACGCCTGTAATCCTAGCACTCTGGGAGGCTGAGGTGGAAGGATTGCTTGAGCTCAGGAGTTCGAGACCAGCCTTAGTGAGACCCCGTCTCTACTATAAACAGAAAGAAATTAGCCAAACAACTAAAAATAGAAAAAATTAGCCAGGCACGGTGGCGCATGCCTGCAGTCCCAGCTACTCGGGAGGGTGAGGCAGGAGGATCACTTGAGCCCGGGAGTTTGAGGTTGCTGTGAGCTAGGCTGATGCCATGGCACTCTAGCCCAGGCAAGGCAGTGAGACTCTGTCTCCAAAAAAAAAAAAAAACAACTCACTGAAATAATACTGAAAATTTAAATCCACTATGAAACTTAAAATAGATTTCACAGATATGAAAAATTATACTACACTTCTACATGCCCCTAGATTTTTAAAAGATGCATAAAATAATTAACATGTTAAGTGTTCTTAGTTATATTTGCCATGTGTTTTATTAACCATTAGAAAAAATTTGAAAAATCAGGCTCCATTTTAATACTGAAACAACACAGTGGAACTGATCAAGGAATATTAATGTTTTGCTATTCAGGGGGAAAGCTGCAGAAAATTTTAAGGCAAGAATATTGAAAATAAAGTACTTTAAATATACGCTTATAACCACAGCAATAATGAAGATTTAGCAAGCTGGTCTATGTCGTCAAATAATGTATTTAAATACAATCTTGCTGAAATACAATGTTTTTTTTAAATTAATGCGTGTGCTTATACCAAATTCAGTGATTTGAGTAAACAGTAATCATTTTGGTCACATTTTCTGCTGTACTGTTCAGCTTTACAAGAACATCCTTCAACCTGTAAATAAGTTTAGTTCACAAAAATGTTAAGGCATGTAGTCATGAAACAAGCTATAATTTTAACTCTAAACTCTGTAAAAGTACCCCGTCCCCTGCCCTCAAACACACATACCCCTTTTCTTGTTCACACCTGTTCCCTAAAAACTCATGTGCCTTTGTACTATGAAATATAATTTGGGAAATAAATGACAAACAATGTAAACCACAATTATAATTGTTTTTAAAAAATCAGTATTTTTCATTAGTTATTTCTTCAAGCTATAATCCTTAGTTCAATGATCCCATAATTTCTTTAGAAAGCCATCTTGGTATATGAATATCATACTTAAAACGACTCAAAAATATTTGTAATGGTGATGGACGTACGATTACGAAAATGATGCTAACACTCCTGCTGAATATAGGAGAGGTAACTAGGCACCAAGATGAAACTTTCTATGACTTGCTATAGAAATGTGTGCCTTTCTAAGTAGGAATTAGGTTCTGAATAAAGTGAAAACTGAGATCATTCACTCATTCTATTCACAGAACAAGTGAAATATATTCTCAGTTAAAAAGATGAAACAAATATGGGAAGTCAGGCACTAATATTAGCTGGTAAAATTTACAAATATTTTAATTACATATACCCTAATTTTTAAAAACAAAACATACATATATAAAAAAAGAACAGTTTCAAATTTCTTCCAAGGTTGCTTTTAAGTATAGGTGAAAAAAAGCAGGTAAATTCTAGATTTCTTATTGTCCAATTTGCAATGAAAATATTCAAACTAACATTCCACTAAGAAGAAATGTAACGAGGCATACTTTCTAGTGGCTGATACCCTCTTCCAAACCAAAAGAAAAAAGGTAAGGGTATGAATAGCAAGGTTGTTGTGTAACTTTTTCTCACTTGTGTAACTTTAGTCATTCTGGATACTTTTAGAAAATTAACTCATGTTTTAACTGACTATTAACTAAGTATAAAACTATTTGTTGTTTTATTTGTAGATACAGAAATCTACAAATATCTGCAGCAAGCCCATGAAGCACTTGTACTGTCCATATTGATACCTCAGTATTTAATATATACAAAATGTTTCTATCAAACAAAACTATTCACAAGAAGCTGAAGAAAAATCCATGCGATTAACAAAGACTGAATTTTATAAATTAAAAACATGGTCATCTATACATAATGTACAGTCATGCATTTATAACGAAAACTGTGTGTCTCTAAGAATAAATTTTCACAGGCAAATGCTGTTGCACAAATATTTGCTAATGCAAACGAATGGAATCTTAGTAAATTCTGCACTAACATTTTAACCCCCAGAAGTTGAAACTTTAGGCATTTTTCTCAAAAGCTGTCCAAAAAGTTGACATCTCTGGGGAAAGTTCCAATTCTTTTGCGTCTTGTTCAGGGTGTCTTACCAAGAATAAATTTCCTAAACCTCAGGCACAACAAAAATGAATTTAAAAAAAAAAAAATCAAATATAAACACCTTTATCAGTTCAGCAAAAATTCAAATAAAAATTTTCAACTTTAAAGTATTTTATATTACATGTTTCACCAGAATATGCATGAGTTTAAGAAAGTGTGAAATAAAACGTATGCTTCTGTTTCTAGTTTTTGCTTTCACATCTCTGTAAGATAATTAAATTTCTTGAAAAACTACGCATAGCAGCCAAGAAAATACATTATATAGGGGGTGGGGGAAGATCTTACATAATGAACTTACAAAATTGAACTTACATAATAAGTCATTGTCCTTCAGAGTTTGAAATGCTATCAACTTTGCAAACAGTCTCTTTGAAATTGTGCTACATTTCAGAACTTGTTTTATCAATCAAGAAAATCCAGTGATGTTTAAAAAAAACTTCAATTTCCTCTTAAAATACTAAATAGAATTTTCATGGGCTGGTGACCTCCAACGTGACTGTAGATTTTTTATTATAGAGTTTGCCATACTACCCAGTTTCTCATGCATTTCAAATAGCTGGCTTCCTGAATAATTATGGAGATCTTCTGAATCCAGCTGAAGAGCGAGAGCACTGATCTGTGCCACAAGATTTTTAGATAATGGAGTTTCTAAATTAACAGGATCAATCAAATCTAAAAGAGAAAAAAAACCAATTAAATCTATACTAGAAAAAAATTCAATTGTTTACATCATCTTTTAAGTTAACAAAAAGTTTAAGTCCCTAGGTTTCAAACTGAGAGAGCCAGCTAAGGCTCTCCTGTTCTTCAAGGGAACAAGGCAATAGAAAAATCTACCATAGCTTATTATTCTGTGCTATTAAAGAAATATCCTTATTTCAAAACTTTATGGACTAGAAGCTAACAAGAAGAGAAAAACAATTAGACACACTTGAAGTTAAATCAGTTATTTTTCATACACTTGGCATCAAGCACAAAAAAGCCCTATCCTATTAACAAGGCATGATCAAATGAAACTAAAAGCATAACAAAACATGTAAGAAAGTCAGCTATCCCCCTTTGCTAAAATATACCTGAGGCAAGTCTTTCTTCATCAGGAGACAGAGATTTATTTTCGATTCCATTTACTGTTTTTTCAGAAATATCAAAAACTGGAATTTCTTCTAGTCCACGAGACTTCACCTTGATTATACAGAGTAGTAAAAATGAATGAATGAATAAATAAATAAATAAATGCTGAAAACCAACAAATCGAAATTTACTTAATGGGAGTAACAGTATAGAAACTGGAAAAGAACATGTGTGGAACACATGTTCCACCACTTAACTTACCTAATATTGCTAAGAAACTATGTTCTATTAACTACACAAAAAACAGCATTATGAAGCACTTCCTCAAAGAAAGGGTTAGAAATTTACAGTATGCCATAATGGCTTTCTCACGAAAAACAGCCATGGTAACTGAGAAAATTACATTATATACTTCCCAGGTTCAAGAATGTGGAGGAAAAAAATTGCAGCAGAAAACGTAAATAATATATGAATCTTTTAAAAAGAATATAATTTTCACAGAAATTCCTAAAGCCTATGGACCAGTGATTGAGAAAACACTACATTCAGAAAGTTAGTTGCCATATGACTTAGCAATTTTACTTCTAGGTATATACCCAAGAGAAATGAAAACATATGTCCACAAAACTTGTATACAAATGTTTGTAACAGCATTATTCTTAATGGCAAACGGTGGAAACAAGCCAAATGTTCATCAGCTAATAAAGGCATAAATAAAATGCAGTATATCCATACAATGGAATATATTCATTCTTAAAAAGGAAGGAAATTCTGACATGCTACAACATGGATAAACATTGAAAACACTATGCTAAGTGAAAGAAGCCAGTCACAAAAGATCACAGGTTGTATGGCCCCACTTTTTATAAAATGTCCACAACAGGCAAATCCAAACAGAAAGTACATTAGTGATTTCCTATGGCTGAGGGGGTGAGATGAGGAGTGAGAGCTAATGGGGTCAGAGTTTCTTCTTTGTGTGACAAAAATAATGTTCCAAAACTAGATCATGGGGAGGATTGTGTAATTGTGTGAATATACTAAAGACCATTTAAAATTGTATACTTATAGGTAGGTGAATTTTATAATATGTGAATTATATCTTAATAAAGCTATTAAACACACACACACAATTTTCCCAGGGCTCATGGAAACTGAATGAGAAAATAATTCAGAAACTAAACTCTTGATCTACAAGACTGAAAATTACTAGTATAGTTTTTGGTTTATGAGCAACTGGTTAACAGATGTTTTTTGAAGACCACAAAAAAACTAATACAAAATCAAGGACTTTCAAGAATACAGATGTCTTCAGTAGCTGGCAAAATCCAGCTTAACAAAATTCTATTATAGAACACTGTTTTCCACCCTTAACATACTCTATTTTTCATTAGTTCATGACTTCCAATACAGGTTGAATATACCTAATCCAAAAATTCAAAATCCAAAATTCAAAACTTTAACACTTTTGACATAATTCCCAAAGGAAATGCTCACTGGAATACTTTGGATTTCTGGATTAGGGAGGCTCAACCCATTAAGTAACTGTATGATGCAAATATTGCAAAGTTTGAAAAAATCTGGAATCCAAAAACATTTCTGGTCCTAAGCATTTTGGATAAGGGACATTCAGCTTGCAGTGTCAATGAATAAAGGATTTCTGAATGGGTTTTAGGAGAGCCTGTGAATCCTGAAATTATATACAGCATCTGCTGTACACATTTTTATAGGGGGGAAGAATCTTAGCTTTTATCCCAATCTCGAAAAATGTCATGACCAAAAATGTTTATATACAAAATGTTGACAGGAAGAACAAGTAAGAAAAAGAAGTCACAAATGTGCTAGACACCAAAATCAAAATACTGTGACCCACAAATTTGTAAGCTTTTTGTACAAGTTTGGATTTGAACATATAGGTTTTAGCAATGGTAGCCATGGACTCAATTTTATCAACTGGAAATGAATGAGGAAAGGGGATAGAACAGAATTCAAAGAAGATAATTTAAAAACAAACGTGAGGTGCATTACATAAAAACAGTACAAAACTAAACGAGCAATTTCTCTGGACCATTACAAAATGATCTTTTAAGTTACTCTTGACTGGGGGGAAGGTCTCATATAATGGGCTTTTAAGCAAGAACAGTTTAACAAACTTTTGTGTAGTGCTATATTATTTATGAATACATATTTCAAACTAACATCTAAGTTTTTACCTGCTGCTCATGATATATTCTGAGAGCTTTTTTTACATTGGACACCTTTGGAGAACGAATAGGAAGGGTTTTTATTTCAGATGCTGTAAGAGTACTCAAATCACCAATTGTTTTTATATTCTTGGCTCTAATGAGCTGTCCTAGGCCTCTTGCCCTGAACAAAAAATAAGAGAAAAGGGAAAAAATAATTATACAGTTTTATTTACATGCCATTTCCAAGAGCTTATCTAGCTGGATTTCCCCACTTAAGCTAAATCATAACTGAGTTTATTTATATAGGCCTATCTAGCCTCACAGCAAGGACAGGTATACATACATTTAATCTAAAATAAAATCTGGTTCTAATGTGTATGCCTGGTGTAAACAATAGCACTGGAAACAGACTAAGGCTATATAGCATACCTCATGCTTTACACACATTATTCTCTTTAATACAAATGATTCTCAGATTTCCTTAAGTAAACATAACAACTTTCTAATTGGTGGGTAATAAACATGGACAGGTAGGACAGGAAGACAAAACCTGTTATCCTACCAAGCTCACAGCTCAGGTTCCTCACTAGTTTTTTACCTCTCCTAACCTAATCTATACTCCCTTTAATTTCCCTCTCCCCAATTCTTTAATCAGTAATGGACTCAGGGCTGGGCATAGTGGCTCATGCCTATAATCCTAGCACTTTGGGAGGCTGAAGCGGGAGAATCCCTTGAGGCCAGGAGTTAGAGACCTGCCTGGGCAACACAGTGAGACCCTGTGTCTTTGGGGAAAAAAAAAAAAAAAAAGCAAGCCTACAGTGAGCTATGAGCTATGATTGTGCCACTGTACTCTAGCCTAGGTGACAAAGAGGACCTTGTCTTCCCCCTACCCCCAAAAAAGAAATGGATTTGGTATGTCTGACACATCATAGGGCAGCATGATAATTCAATTAAATAGAAATTATCAAGGCATCACAAACCACCTGAAACAATTTATTTAATCGATACAGTAACCTAGAACAGTCTAGGCACAAGCATTTAAGTTTCCAAGACTCAAATCAAGGAAACAAACCTTTCCTTCAAAACAAAACAAAAAAGAGCTCATGAAGAAGTTTTATGTATGTGAACCTCATTCTTCCAACACATGATCGCACTAGCTGTGTGACTGTGGTGCTAATCTTCACATAAAGTGGAAATGATATTCATATTCCTCACATGGTTTATATTAGGACTAAACGAGATAATAAATGATTAGGGTTCAGCGCAGCACCTGAAATATTAAGCACACATTTCTCTTATTATATCAGGGCAATACGGGAACACTTATCCTATCTGGCCCACCTTCCCAGCTACATTCTTATTTACCTCTTAAAAGAGAAAATGTATGCAGGTGGAGGGCATGTCAATCAATTCTAACTATGAGAACCCTGACCATTCAAATATTTCTCTTAAATAAGTGGCATCTGGGACTATAAGCCAGAAGCCTAAATAATCACTCACCACATGTTAGACGTAATCTGAGGTAAAATGATGTCAACTGGTGCCACACAGTTCACCAAAGCTGGGTAAACACTTTCTGTTGGGCATGGCATGGATTCTTTGACCATTTCTGTAATCTTGAATAAATTTCAAAAGCCATTAAATAGAGGTCACCTGACTGAACACGAAAATATAAAGTTACGTGAAAACTAAAGCACTTCTTACTAAACACTTCTTTGAGCTCTTAAATTTAGGGCTACGTGATCCTGGGGACAGAAATCCTTTGATTGAAGTGGTATTATGCTAGACAGAAGAAAGGAGAGAAAAAAAAAAAAAACTCAGAACCCTAGATAACTATAATTTTACAATTTTATTTTCACAACTTAAACTGCAATCATTTCTTTATAATTTCAGAAAACATTATAATCTACTACGTAATCAATTACTTGCTGGATCATCATTGCCTCTTACCACCTCTTCTCTTCATGTCTGTTTACCATGTTCTTACAAAAGAATACATCCCAACCAAAGAAGCTGTTTCTCAAATAGTTCAAGACAAATCATGCACATGCAATTCTGTGTCTATATACATATATGTACATGTTAAAGCCTAGAGCTTACCTTAGATTGTGCAGTAGGAGAAGTTTTAACACTTTTTACTATGGGGGAACTATTTGAAGAGTGGGACCTAACAACAGGGCACCGTCTATCAATGTCATCTGCCAATCCTGCTTGGTATATTGGATCTGCAAAGGAGACACGGCGAACCTGAAAACATAGGTCAGGTTTTTACTTAAGAAAATTAAAGTTTTATAAAATGAAACCATAAATTCTCATTATAGGGTTACTCAATAATAGAACATGGACTTAAAAGCTGAATTTATTTCATTAGAAGCCAACTGCACACAGTAGTTGTTTTCCTAGTGACTGTTTTCACAGATATTACTCAATACCAGTGCATCCTAATTATCCAGGTTTTAAACTGTCTTTGCATATAACACCAAAGACTATGTATGAAACAGGGACAGCAGTAGAAACTTAATGAAATTGCACATAGCAGTTAAAATTGTATAATCTGACTCTAATAACCTTATGGGCTTACTGAACAGACTGGAAAGAACAAGATGAAGAGGTTAAAAACAAGTAACTGGTCTCTGCTATGTCTTATTGATCTCTGTTCTAAATTCTTGGAGGTTACCATCAGAGTCACAGAAACTGGTTAGCAATTTTTGTCTTTCTTAGGGCCAGCTTTTAGTAATTTTGGTTTAAATTCCTACAGTGTCTTCACTCATTCAGCTATTTGATATAAATACACATAGAGCACTCTTATACCATTAATATGTTTTTTTTGTTTGTTTGGTTTTTTTTTTTTGAGACAGTCTCGCTTTTGTTGCCCGGGCTAGAGTGAGTGCCGTGGCGTCAGCCTAGCTCACAGCAACTTCAAACTCCTGGGCTCAAGCAAGCCTTCTGCCTCAGCCTCCCGAGTAGCTGGGACTACAGGCATGCGCCACCATGCCCGGCTAATTTTTTCTATATATTGCTAGTTGTCCGATTAATTTCTTTCTATTTTTAGTAGAGACGGGGTCTCGCTCTTGCTCAGGCTGGTTTCGAACTCCTGAGCTCAAACAATCCGCCCGCCTCGGCCTCCCAGAGTGCTAGGATTATAGGCGTGAGCCACCGCGCCTGGCCCATTAATATGTTCTTATACATCTTGTGATCTTGATTCCCAAGAGTGGGCAGATTCTATACATACCTGCTACAAAAAACTACAATATGCTGTTCTATTGCCTAAATAAATATTAAGTATGAACTACTATCAATCAAAAAGCAACTAGCTAGCTTCTAGTAATAATCTAAAGTAGTATACTGAAGAAAGAGACATCTTGGCTAGAAAAATTCCAGAGAAAAAAAAAAAAAAAAAGAGAGAGAGAGAGAGACGTCAATCCTAAGGCACTCTTACCTTCATAAACTTTTCAAGGACTTCTATGGCTTATTAAACTTAAAATACTTAAAAACAAAACAAAAAAGACTCTCAAAACTAAGAATAACCTATATACAAGAAAAAACAAAAGCTCAAGAGCTGTTAGGTCTTCCTAAATAGGTAATCCCTAAACTCTCAGCAGAACTTTCAATGTATCTTGGAAAGTTGAAAAGTCCTAAGAGTAACAGAAATATGAATTAAGGGAAGTTTCCAAAATGTGCTTGCTGAAGGCAAAAAGCAAGATGTCACGTTTGTATAATATATACATGCTTGTATATACAAACATGTATTCTACACTAAAGCACAGGTTCAATTTCAAAACTAAGAAATACCAGCACCACACCTTTTTAGAACATTTAGAGGATAAGCTAAGCTACGTAGCTCATGTAACTTTTCCTTTTTACATTTTTTTATGCATTCATCCAACAACTATATGCAAGGTACAGGGCCAAAAGGCAAAAACAGACAGATATATAGATAATCCACGTTTCCTAAACAAGGAGCTATAATTTAGCTTAGGAGATGGGATATAAATAATTAAAAAAAATCAAATCCACAAACTGATGAAGGTACAGCCTAACAAGATTTTTTTCCTTTTAATTAGACACAGTCTAAAAATAAGAGTTTATATAAACACCTAGGTAAAACAGCAGTGTCCCAACACACAGTAAGTGCTAAACTTGCTTTAGCAATGGTAATCAGTGTTGCCTGAATTCCCAAATCTGTTCCTCATGTGATAACAATGGTATGAGAAGCCGAAAAGATCTTAAGAGAGCCTTACCAATTTTGCCAAAGGTGAACAATAATGCATAGTTGCATAAAGATCTTTAGTTTAGTGCTGTGAGATGAAAGAATATCTAAAGAGCTTCAGTCTCCTTTTTTCAACACCTTTCTTTCTACCTGTTCTTTCTCCTAGCACCATGGCAGATTATCAAAATGAGTGAACACATAATTCTAATATTTTGTCATTCACCAGGTGCCACTGAATGGCCAAAATATTTCAATCAAATATCGGACCCCTAAATATCCAGCTTCATTCCTCCTACCTTGTTAACAGGTGACGAGATCTCATCTTCTTGGGGTCTTTTTAGTCCTCTCTTTAAAATGCTGGTGGATGGAGAAGCCAAAGGAGACCAGATACAGCGTGTCTGCATGCCACTAGGACTGTAATTTGCTGACACAAGGGAAGGATTGAGTTCCCTTAATTTTTGAGGAGATGCATTATTGTCTTCTATTATCAGTTCAGAGATACCTGTTTCAGATGTCAGAGATTGTGGTGGTTCCTCCACTTTCTTGGAAGTGTGAACTTCCTGTAAAATATCGTTTCCCACTACCATTTGATTATCATCTATTTCTTCAGGTACATTAAGTTCAGTATTTGTTTCAGTTTTATTACAGTCAACTTTTCCTTCTTCAGTGCTCACTTCAAGTGTGTCAGAAACAATGTTGTCAATTTCTGCATTGAGTCCTTTTGTTTCAGCATCTTCAGGTTTAGAGGTTTTGATGGACATGTCCTCATCTTCTGTTTTATTGACATGGTCAGTTTCAGCATTCACCTCATCGATCACTGTTTCTTCACACTTTTCCACTTCAGCATTCATTTCTTCAGATGAACCTGAATCAGACACATCACTTCCTCCATCTAGTCCCCCAACTGCTGTTTGTTCAGACATCTCAGTTTGAGCATTCACTGTTATAGGTGTGGTATTATCAGAAAGACTGATGCCTGAATTAAATTCCTCAGTTGCTGCTTCTTTGGCATACAGTTTTTTAGCTGTGTCTGCTTCAGATTCATCACCACTACTACTGTTTTCCTCTGTTGCTGCTTCTTCAGAAATATCAGTTTTGGTACTCTCTTGTTCAGAGAAGCTAGCTTCAGATTTATCATTTCTTACATCCAATTCCATGGTTTCTACTTTCTGTAGATTGGATTCTGCTACTTTGCATGCATTTTCTTCAACATTAACAACATAACCTCGACTTAGTTCCCCTTCCAGGGTAGCTTCTGGCTTTTCTTCTTTAGTTTCCAAAGAACATTCCTGGGAAATATCTTTGGAATCAGCTAAACACGGGCCAGCAGCTTTAAATTTTTTATTAGGTGGCTCTTGGCTTTGAAGAGACTTCACTTCACTAGAATCCATACCACAAGTTTCCTCTTTAAAATTTACTATTTCAGAAGGAAGAGTTTCTTGAATGGTATTTTCTTTCAACTCAGTTTCAGATACAATTAATAAATCATTGATAGTGTCATTATCCTCCTTGATACCCAAATGAAAATCCACACTGTGGTGCTCATCTAAAAATTTTACTTCAGAACACAGATTAGCTTTAGAAGTTTCTGATATAGTTACAGGTGTTTGTACATCTGTCTTTTTTGTTTCACTAATCTTTACATCGTAATTTTCTGTGTTCTTTAACCCAATGAATGACTTTTCCTGAAGCTGTGATTTTTCCCCACAGCAATCACAACTTTTAGATCTCCTCACCCTCCTACTTCTCTTATGGTGGCATTCAAGCGTTTCAAGAGTTTTTTCAGAAGGCAAAGAAATGTCTGATGTCTCTATTTTTGAGGATTCTCCTACACTATAATTATCAATAGAGTCTCGCTTATGTAATCTCTTACTGGCATTTCTAGTTCTTAGATTTGACTCTGGCACAGGTGGACTTGTAAAGAAATATTCTGCACATTTGCTAGTTTTACTTTCCCCCTCACATGTATTTGCTACATCATCAGAAATCTGCAACAAATCTGAAGATGCAGAATCCTCAAGTATTACAGTACTACTTTCATCTTTTTTTTCACAAACCTGAGACTTTATGTCTACGTCTACTTCTGAACTTGCTTTATGATCATGTGTCTGATTTTCAGCTTTTATACACTCCTGTTTTACCATTTTCTCTTCTTGATCTTCAATGTCAACACTGTCGTTGCTTTTGCTTTTCCATTTTCCAGATCTCTTCTTTCTAGAACCTTCTTCTTTTGCCTCAGAACTATCAGATTCTGAGTTTTCAATGCTAGAAAGCAAACCCTGAGATGCTCTTCTTGTTTGATACCGTGTTCGGCCCCTTACTGGTTTCTCAGAGGATTTATCTGCAACGTCCTGGGCACCATCTCCTTCAGACTTAATATTCTCAAGGTCGGGCTTTCTTTTATTTTGGTCAATTTCAGCATTAGCACTGGTTTCCCCAGAAGTCTTCTCATGTAAACTATTTCCTTTCTCAATTAAATTCTCCTGTACAATTTGTTCAGAAATCAGTTTTTGCTTAGGTAACAAATCATCTTTTATATGCAACGGATTCTTCTGAAGAGGTTTTTCTTCTTCCTTACGTCTTTCCCTTTTTTGATGATTATTTTCTTTATCTTGGCTATCAGTGGTAGATTCTGCTATTTCAGAACGTCGTCTTGAAGATCGTCTAAGGGTTTTTTGATTTGGAGTTATCTGAGCCTGACTATCGTCATTTACCGTTTGATCTGACGGTATTCCTGCTGGGGGTGTATTTTCTTTGGATTCCAAATTAATTTTTACATTTTTCTCTTCTATAGTATTAGTTTCTAGTAACACAGCATTTTCTATTGTTGGTTTAAACTTGGTATCTTCATACTCCACTGCAGATTCGGAAAGATGAACCTGATTATCTGATACACATTCTGTTTGATTAAGCAAACCAGGTGGGTTATTTTCTAAGGTTACCATGCCTTCAATAGATTCCTGAGTACTTTTCTCCTGTTCAGATTTCATTAAGGGCTTAGACCTTTTATTTCCTATTTGTTCAGCTTTACCCAATCTCCGGCCTGATCTCTTAGTTGCATTTGATGTTTTTTCAGAATCAGATTTTGAAAGAGTCACTTCTCGTTGCTTTGCTTTTGGTGGAATACCTGTTTTAATCATGTTTTCCTGGTTACTTTTCACTGTAACAGTTGATGACATGTCATTCAAGGGGGATGGGCTAAAAGGTCTATTTTCTGACCCATCAAACTTCTCCAAGGTAATAAAAGTTTGCCTCCGACTTGTAGGCTGTGGAGGAGTTCCAGAAATAGCGGCATTAGAAACTGAGCTACTGCTGACAACAACAGAACTTTCTGCACTAGATGCACATTCAGTTGAAGTTTTCTTTGATGGAATTAAAGCTTTTTTTCTGGCATCGGTATTACTGCTCAGTATTTTTGAACTGGTTTCATCAACAGAACCACACTCTTTATTTGAAAAGGAAGCCTTTTCAAGCTGTTCATCCATACCACAGTTTTCCGTGACATCTTGAGGAATGACACTGTCACTCTCCATTTGCTCCTCCTGCACAGAAATGTATATATATATATATATAGATTAACCAGCAAACAAGTTTGATTTTCTGGGAAAATTTTAGTGTAGAACTTTAGTAATTCAAAGACAATTACTAAATTTCAATACATTGCTAATATTCCAAACATAGCAGTAGGTGCCTATTAATTTGCATTCCTACTTGTAAATGTTCAGTAAAAGCCAAACACATTTATTTTAATTAAACACACACAGGCTATAATTCTGCTAGTATTTAAGTGGGACTTAAGAGGTTATACAGTAAATCTTAAAACTAATAAAATGAAAGCTTACAGACTACCTTTCAGCAGTTTAAGAGACTCCATAATGGAAGGATGATTCTAACAACCCCAAAATACAAAGTAGCAAATATACCTTAAACATCATTTTGGAATCTTCCTTTGGTTTTCTGGTTACAGCAGGAATTTCCCTGAAATAAATAGTGATATAAATTAGAATGTTGTTTTTGTAATTACTTAGAAATCAGGAAAACAGTTATAAAAAGTTTGATGGCTTCCATACTTACATAGACTCTTCCTGGCCATACTGAGAAAATAACGTATCTTGTGAAACATCCAGATTATTATACATGGCAGGAATATCACACCTGAAAAAAATTTTACATAAGTAACTCCAAAAATCTGATGACGTTCCTACAATTAGAAAGTAATCTTACAATTCTACAACCAAGCTGTCTTTTACAAAAAATATGAAATCAAGGCCTACATGCTTATTTTCCAGACTTTCCATGAAACAATCAATCTCCCAATCTATTTCAGTAAAGGAATTCAATTTGTAACATTTGGTACATTATCTTATACCTATAGTTAGGTAGCATTATACATTATAAAATTAATGTATACACAGCATGTTTTGGCATTAAAACTTAGTATACACAGTATCTTAGTTCTAAACACAAAGTTATAAAAGGCCTACAAACCGCTTTGTTTTGAGTACTTCTTTTTGATGTTCAGTTAGTATTCTTTCCTTTCCATCTTTTCCTTCTGGAGATATAAACACAAAGTCAGTAGACTTTTCCTCTTCCAAAAGTATTTCACTCTTTACTTTTAGAGATGAAGATTCAAGTTTCAGCTGCAGATTAAAAAAAGTAAATGTACATTTTAGTTTCCAAATTATTTTCTAATACTTCTATCAATCTGTTTTCTAATACAGATATAGTTTTTCAATAATGATTAGAAAAAGTCTGAAGTTCGAGCCCTTTGATTCAATGATATTCATGATCAATAATAAATTAGTATGATTCCCTTCACTTTCTTTCTGCTTCTAATAAATACTTCCTGGAGTAACTACATGTAACAGATGTTAAGGATTACACGAAAACTTATCTTTACTAAGAAGGAATCACCTAAGGCTTCAAGATTACCATGCTACCTTAGTAGACTTTCTAGACCAAATTCTATCATCCCCTTGCAATCTTGCCTTTTATAGCTTTTTCTTCCAATTAAAAGCTGCATGTCCTCAGGCTACTGTACACTTAATCAAAAAATTCTATTAAATATACTTTTGAAAACATACTTTGGCTGGTGGTTTCATCTTTTCTTTCTTGTCCTTTGTTTGTGCCAAAAAGGAATCTCTTTTTCCACTTGATTTTCTTTCCATGCCACTTATCTTCACATTTAGTTGTGAATTTTCTGTCTGTTTTATTAAAAATAAAACAATTTCATTAAGGTCAACTGTATTATTTTACTTCTCCTTTTCACATTTTGAAAATTCCAGTCTAATAAGTACTCATTTCAAATGTCAAATTTCTTATGATTATTCAACCCTATTAAAATCAAAGAAAGGAAAGCCACTAAGTCAATAACAGCAAATGGCTTTGTTGCCTCTAACTTTTATAGCAGTTGCTTTGCACCATTTAATTTTATGAATTCTGGGAAAATAAGAAATACCACATAATTACTACAATGTGAATCAAATTACTAGACTCAAATACTCCACCTATTACTGGCACTATTCTAAAAGAAAATTCAAAGCCATAACTTTACACATTAAACAACAAAGAGGGTTAATAAAGCATATGTAATACAGAATATTACTGCACCAAGCACATTTTCCTTCAACAGAATACATGGCTTTTATAGGTGAAATGCCACTGAATAAGTCTTAACAAGTTTAGATGGTTACCTGGTGAAAAATTTTTTATTTTAGCCAAAACCAAAAACAAAACAAAATAGAGTACTTAGTTGACTGTATTTTTTTCCTCTTACAGATTCTAAACAAAAAACTGCCATACATCATTTGCTCGAGTAGGAAAAATTTTTTAGGGATATTCCACCTCAGGGGAATATAGTGCCCATGTCTTTATCTGCCTATATCTTCAGGCAGAATTGAAGAACCTTGGTCCTAAGGTATGATGTGATAGCAAGGATGTGTTTTTCTGACAGAAGAAATGGGAGAATTGATAGGAAAAAGTGAGAGTAGCTCTTGCTTAGACATAGACTAGTAACAGTTATTTCTAGTTTTTTCCAAAGCAACACTTAACTACATTTATTTTAACAATTACGAACTTTCTAAAATAGTACATACAAGGTATCTGAGCTCAAAAAAGATCATTAGTGAACAAGAATTAGAGATTATTTACATGAGAATCACTAGTGAAAATTTTTGCCTGTAATTCATAAGCTATTTTAGGCAAGACAATTGACAATATGGAAAAATCCTACCTATGTTATAGAACTCTTTTCTGTTTAGGTTCTACTTGTTTATCACTTATAATAAACAAACTACTCAAATATCATTTAAAAGTTTAAAAAAAAAAAAACAGGAAAACAAACACTTACTGCATCTGAATACGGTCCACTGGATTCTTCCATCATTTCAACAGTTTCCAAACCAGGCAACAGAAGCAGAAATTTTTGTTTGGCTTGTCTTAGCACTGGTCTTTAAAAAAGTACATAAACATATATATCTTGAGTCAAGTAGTACTGGTGAACACTGATATGTTAACAAGAGCATTTTATTTATAATTTTAGAGCAGCAAAATACATGGGGCTTAAAGACTACTTCTTTCTACACATATATAAAACCAGGAGAAATTAGATAATTTTTTGTATTTTTCCCTGTATTTTCCTGAATTTCTAAATTTTCTTCTTTAGAAACTTATCAAAATTTCCACATTTTTATCATGGAAAACAGGAAACAAAAGTACAATATTACATTAACTTTTCATATCCAGCTTTAAAACCCTTCCATTATTAAGGATAATTTTAGGATGGGCATGGCACACCTATTAATCCTAGCACTCTGGGAGGCGGAGGCGAGAGGATCGCCTGAGCTCAGGAGTTTGAGATCAGCCTGAACAAGAGTGAGACTTCATCTCTACTAAAAATAGAAAAATTAGCCAGGCACTGTGGTACATGCCTGTAGTCCCAGCTACTTGGGAGGCTGTGGTAGGAGGATCACTTGAGCCCGGGAGTTTCAGGCAGCAGTGAGCTATGACGACACCACTACGCTCTACCCAGGGCGATAAGAAACTCTCTCCAAAAAAAAAAAGGATAATTTTAAACGGCTTTTCTAGGTTCATGAAATCAAGGTTACTCTAAGAGCCAAAGAAAAGGTCAAATAATGTTTAATAATTGCCATATACTACAAATAATAATATTTCAACTTAGGAACCCTCTGCAACAATTCCCCATAAGAAAAGTTTGCTTTAAACCAATATATCAATTTATATTTATCACAATAGTTAGTCGTATAAAAGTTTTGATATTGGCATACTTTAACTCGTCAGGATAAATCAACATCGTCACTTTAGCAAATGTGGCATTCCAGAACTGAGCACTCTGTTTTCGAATCTGTTTATTCTTGTGCAGAAATGTTATGCATAATAGTGGGGAGAGTTGTTCAAGAAGTTCACTGTCATATGTTCCAGTGTAGATGAATTGCAGACAAGTAATAATTTCTCCTAGTAGCTTTTCTAACTAGGAAAAAGGAAAAAATAAAAGCAAAAAATACACTGAACATTAACTTACAGAACATGTTGCTATTTCAATTTTTAAAATTTGAATTTTAAACAAGCCTCTGCTATCACCTTAAATATTTATCCCTCTTGATAAGCTGACAAATTATCGGGTAAATTTTCTTTAATTATTGATATTAAAGCTCAATTTTGAGTTTAGTTTCCATTAACAGAAAAAAATTTTGTTTTTACATCAATGGTAACAGGAATAGTTGCCTACACAAATTTCACCTGGGAAAACTTTGGAGCCAATTGTACTTTTATATATAAATAAGATAGGAGGTAATGAATTAAATGTATTTAAAATACATTATTAAATCCTTTTAAGAAAAATCTACCTGTGAATGTGTCCATATCATGTTATGAAATGTTCATTACAAATCAAGTATAATAACCCCCTTAAAAATGAGCAGACTTAGGTTTAAGGAAGAAAATTATCTAAACTCCACCATTTTTTCATCGTGAAAGTATGTTTCATGGACAATTGTCTATTTTTACCTTGTTGTTCAGACAACTATACACTTTAGGAACTTCATCAAGCCTGGGAAGAAAAACACATAAAATAAAGTACCGTTTATATTTTAAGGAAGTAAACACTACTATTTATCAAGCTAAACCTAAAAATGAGGTAATACAGGCATAATAAGAGATATGCATGTAGTGATACAAAAAGCTGTCCCAAGGCTTAACAAGTAATAAAAAAAATTGTCAAATAGGCAGGAAACAAACTTATCTTTAAAAAATAAGAGTTTTTTTGTTTCACAGAAAATATCTAAAATAGATCTGAAAGTACTCACACTAGTTACTTGCTCCTGTACATTTCTTTTAAGCATGAACTATTCTTGATGAAGAACTTAAAATTTGCAAAGAAAAGTTTATGGATTTGGGGGTTGCATTTTATACTTTATAAAATCTGTTTCTAAAACTCTGTGAGTTTAATTTATAAAAGATAAACTTAATTATGACTGAACCATAGAAGCCTGCATACTGATGAATCCTCTCAAAATGGTTTTATATTATTTGGGATTTTCTCACGTTTTAACGCACGCTTTACTTCAACTCAAATGTAAAGGGTAATGCAAAATTAAGTAAACTTTTAGAGGTTTAATTAACAAACTTAAATATGCATATCCTCTGAACCAACATTTTTACCCTAAAAAATCTTCTTCTACAGAAATAGTGGCAAATGTGCTCAATGATTTATGTACAAATTATGTTCTACTGTTTGTTATGAGGGAAAACGCTACAAAGGCGTACGTCCACCAAACCAGAAACTGGGTAAAAAGTTTAACAGAATCCTATGCAGACAATGAAAAGAATGAGATTCTCATGGAAATGGTACAAGAAACATACAATATACTGTCACCCCTCAGTATCTGTGGGGGATTGTTTCTAGGACCAATGTCCACTCTCTTGTGTACTTTAAATCATCTCTAGCATACCTAATATAATGTAAATACTATGTAAATAGTTGTTATACTGTACATTGAAATTTTTACTATTTTTGTTATTTATTTTTCTAAATATTTTCTATCAGGGGTTGGTTGACTCCATGGATGCAGAACCCACAGATGCAGAGGGCCAACTGTATTAAGTGCATATCTCATATATACTTAATCGCAGAGTAACATGTCAAGTATGCTCTCATTA